GACGCAACATCGCTGGCGCCACAGCAACAGCCGCAGCCGCTGCCGCAGCCTGCGATGATCAGTCCTGCGGCCAAGGCCGCCGGATCTAAGATGCGCGCCAAGGCGCCCAAGTGGGTGCCCAAGGCCGCGGCGAATACAAACACGAACGCGAACACGACCCCGATGAGCGATGCCGAGACAGCCGCCTCATGAGACCCGGTCTCACGTGCGTCGATCGGCTCTTTCGCCACGCCACCAAGCTCTTCGAATCGGGCGTGTCCGCGCGAGTGACCCCGCCCGCCCGGGAAGCACTTCACCACCACTAGCACTGCCGAAAGCCGGCTCGGGGGTTACCCCCTCAGCGAGCTGCTGCAAACTACCACTCGCGCCACATGCGGCCAGTCCCGCGCCCGGGTCGTCTCCGCGCCGGGACGCACCTCTCTTATGCCTTCTGCTTCCCTTCTCTCTGTCAACTCTTCATCCACATCCACACGATCACGGGCTCATGCGCTTGCACAGCCACCTTACAGCCTGATCTATAACAAAACAACCGTCTCTTCGTTCTTTGGTTTCCTTCGTTCTTTTTTTTTCTGGTGTGGTTTTGTGCGAGTGGCGATGGTCCCAGAAATGGGTGGAGAGCATTGAAGTGGGCCAGTGGCCCTGTGGGGAAAGGATTAGCTCAACAACAACAACAACAACAACAACAACAACAACAACAACAACAACAACAACAACAACAACAACATAATCCTGCCCCTCGTCATCACATCATGATACACCGGTTGCACCGTCATAACAAGAACACCGCACACTGGGCGCTGCCGCAGAAAGCGTCCACCGCCGGGAGCACCACCTGGCCCAGGTGACCACCAAAAAAGAAAATGAAAAGCTGGTGGTTGCGTCATGGGTCAGTATGGCGCAGGGTGTGGGCGTCGGCCTCGCCACAGGGCTCAAGACCCTCTTTAGGTCCTGAGCCCCAGCGTGCGTGAGGCCATCACACAACGCCCCGCGCCATGAGCAGTGCCGGAGGTTCCATCGAAGTAACCCATCGACAAAGCACCAAGCTCACACTGCAATCCATCACCCATGCCCAGTTGAGGCCTACCACACACGCCCGCTTCCTTGATTGTGGGATGATCAGAAAGCGAGCTGCTTTCGTTCTTTATTCTGTTTTTTTCCCAACTTTTCGTTCTTTCTTTTTCCTGGCCTTGGGGAGAACGACAAGCTTGTGTCGGTTCAGCCAAAACGCTAAGGCGTCCCACAATGAGTGAAGAAGGCCCAGCGTTGAAGTAGTCAGGCGGAGGACCAGGTTCAGTACAAGAATCAACCCTTAGTAGCAAGAGCGAACAGGTTCACAGTTTACACCTCTGAAAGAGGTGGCCTGCTCGTTCCTCTATTCCGAGGGGCTGAGCGGTTCCCAACAACTGAAAAACAATACTACCACACATAACAATCAACACCACTCGCAATGCATGGCAAAGAGAAAATTGGTAGCCTCAAGCCCCTTCCAGCAGCGATTAACGGCCGTCCCTAGACTGGTTGCGATCCCTTTATGACTGAATAAACTGTGAGAGAGCGACACTTTTAAAAGCCTACATGCTCACCTTGTAGGAGGTTACTCCTGACTTGTCCTTGTTGGGCAGGTCGAGGTGCTTGGTCACGTCGATGCCCAGCGTCCACAGGTTGTCCAGGTCGTAGGCCAGCTCCCCGCCATACACACCCAGATCCCGCTCCACCCACCAGTCCCCCTCTCTTCGCCCCTTGCCCCTCTGAGCGAAAGCATACTCGCAGATCTGCCCACCACACACGACACGACACGACCAACGACACGACCAACGACACGACCAACGACACGACGCCCAACATTGCACGCGCACGCGTGATTGAGTTGGTTACAACCACCAGCAACTCAACTATCATCTCACACGCCCCACACGAAGGCAGGCGTACACGAGTGCGAATGTAGGCGGGCGGCTTATCGGTGAAGGGATTGTGTTGGACCAGGGCGAGAACGGCAGGCGTGTTCTTGAGGAGACCCGCCAGGAAGGCCTTGTACCACTCGGGCGGGAGCGGGTTGCCCTTTTGCACACTCAGCGGAATGATCCACAGGTGCCAATCCAACCTACACATCCACCCACATTGCATATAAGAATAGGATATATCTGTCTTTCTCTACATCAACTGTATCAGGTGATAAAATAGACAATATATATATTACTCAAAATCATATATTGAAAAGATGTGTAAGGTGGTAGGAGTACCTAGGCCAGTAGGTGGGCGGGGTGACGATGAGCGGGAGGTGGGATGGGCGGGAGGGCTTGAAGTGGAAGCCGTAGCGCCGCCAGTCGGTCTGGCCGTCGTCGGAGCCCTCCACCACCAGCTCCCACCGCTTGTCGTGCAGGCCCGCGAACATGCCGTACACGTTGACCAGGCAGTAGGGCGACACCAGCCCGTAAAGCCAGTAGGCCACATCCGGCAGCGGTCTGTGTTCGGTTGGAAAACAAGAGGCTCAGGGTGGGACAATCTGCACGCACCACCGCACCACCGCATAAAGAGAGAAGGTGACCTGGTCTTGGTGACGTCCACCAGGGGAACGATGGAGAGAACCAGATAGGCTACCGCGTAGGTTACGACCGCCAGCTCGACCCAGGCAGACGCAGTAACCTTGTCTGCTATCCGATTACGTGAGTGACGGACGAGATGAGCGAACGGACTGGAGTGCTGACGATTGTCGAGGAGTGAAAAAAAGGGGCTAAACCTGACGAGGAGGCGTG